GAAAATTAATCAGTGTAATTCACAATATTAACAGATTAAAGAAAGAAAGTCCACATTATCACCTCAATAGATGCAGAAATGGGATTCAACATCCATTCATGATAAAAACCCTCAGCAGCCTTGAACAGAAGGAAACTTCCTTAACCTGATTTGGAGAATCTACAAAATGACCTACAGCTAACATCACATTTTAAAGGTGAAAAACTGAAGCTTTCCCTTTATGATTATGAACAAGACAAGGATGTTCTTTTTTACCACTTTTTCAACATCTCACTGGAAGTCCTAGCCAGCACAATAAGTCAAGAAAAGGAAAAGGCATACAGACTAGAAAGAAAGAAACATTTCTCTTTTCATAGATGACATGACTGTCTACTCAGAAAAGCCCAAGAAATCTACAAAAAAAATCTCCTAGAATAAATGAGTTTAGTAAAAACTCAGGCTATAATGTCAATATACAAAAATCAATTGTATTCTATATACTAGCAGTGATCAACTGGAAACTCAAGTTTTTTTAAATGACCATTTACTATAGAACCAAAAAACTGAAACACCAAATATTTGCAGGATATGTATGTTGAAAACTACAAAACACTCATGAAAGAAATCAAAGATTTCTAAATAAATGGAGAGAAATACCACATTCATAGATTGGAAAGCTCAATTTTGTTAAGATGTCCATTATCCTCAAGTTGATTTATATAGATTAAACACAGGATTAAAAATCGTGGCAGAATCTTTTTATGGATATCAGCAAGCTGATTCTAAAATTTATATGGAAAGGCAAAAGAACTAAACTAGCTAAAATAATTTTGAAAAAGAATAAAGTTGGAGAACTCATATTATCTGACTTCAAGACTTATTTTAAAGCTAAGGTAATCAAGACATTGTGATATTGGCAAAGGACAGACAAAGAGAGCAATGGAACACAAGAGTCTAGAAACAGACCCACACAAATGTAGTCAAATGGTTTTTGACCAAGAGACAAAGGCAATTCAATAGAGAGAGGATAGTCTTTTCAACAAATGGTCATGGAACAATCGGACAAATAAATGAAACTCAACTTAAACCTCTCTCTTTATACAAAAATTAACTCAAAATGGAACATAGATCTAAATGTAAAATATAAAACTTGCAGAAGAAAACGTAAGAGAAAATCTTTGTGACCTTGAGTTAGGCAAAGAATTCTTAGATATAATACCAAAAGTAAGACCCATAAAAGAATATCCTGCTACTTCGGACTTCATCAAAATTTAAAACTTCTGTACTTCAAAAGACATTGTTAAGAGGATGGAAAAGGCAAGCCATAGACTGGAGGAAAATCTTTGCAAATCACATATCTCACAAAGGACTATAAAGAACTCTCAAAACTAAACAAGAAAATCCAATTTTAAAATGGGCAAAAGATTTGGAAACTTCACCAAGAAAGATATACAAATGGCAAATAAGCACATGAAAAGATGATTAACATCATTAGTCATGAGAAAAATGCAAATAAAAACCACAATGAGATATTGCTACATAACTATAAGAATGACTAAAATTAAAAAGACTGACCATACCAAGTGTTGATGAGGATGTAAAGTAACTGGAACACCCATACACTGCTGGTGGGAATACAAACTGGTTTAGCCTCTTTGGAAAACAATTTATAGCATATAGTTTCCTATGCTGCTGTAACAAATTACCACAAATTTAATGGCTTAAAAGAACACAAATGTAGTATTTCCCAGTTCTGTACTTAAAAGTCTGACACAGGTCTCCCTGACCTAAAATCAAGGTGCTGGCAGAGCTGCCTCCTTTTCTGAGGGCTCTAAATATTAAACCATTTCCCAGCCTCTTCCAGCTTCCAGAGACCACATTCCTTAGTTTATGGCTTTGCTCCTCCATCCCCAAAACCAAGAACTCTGCATTTTGCTGGCTCTGCTTCCACCATTACATCTTTTTTTCTGATTCTACTGCTTCTCGCTTTCCCTTTGAAGGGAAACCCTATAATACATTGGGCCCACTGGGATAATCCAGGATACTCTCCCTATTTTAAAGTCAGTTGATTAGCAAACTTAATTCCATCTGCAACTTTAACCCTTGCCATGTAACCTAATTTATTCACAAATTTCAGGGATTAGGACATCTTTGTGGGCCATTATTCTGCCTACCGCAGACACTTTTTAAAACGAAGTTAAAGATACATGTCATATGACCCAGCAATGCCACTTTAAGGTGCTGACCCAAGAGAAATGAAGACTTATGTTCACACAAAAACCTTTTTGTAAAGATTTATAGCAGCTTTATTCACAGTCAAAAAAAAAAAAACAAAAACAAAACTGAAAATAACTCAAATGTCCTTCAACTGGCAGATGGATAAACAACTGTGGTACATCCATACAATGGATACCACATTCAGCAATAAAACAGAAGGAAGTGCTGATACAGTCAACAACATGGTTCAACACTCAAATGCATGATGCTAAATGAAAGAAACCAGACTCAAAAGGCTAAATACTATAGCATTCCATTTATACAATACCTAGAAAAGACAAACTATAGGAAATGACAACAGATCACTAGTTGCCAGGAGTTAAGGGTGGGGGAAGGGTTGACTACAAAAGAGCAGCTCAAGCGAATTCTAGGTGCTGGAACTGTTCTGTATCTTGATTTTGGTAGTTGCACAGCTCTATTCATTTGTCAAAACAATTACACAATGAAAAGAGTTAATTTTATATCAAGTAAACTAAAAATAAAGTTAAAATCTTTTTGAAAGAAAGAAAACACATCATTTCTCACCCATCAAATTGGCAAAAATTTAAAAATCTGACAATACCAATCTGACAATTCCAAATGTGGCCAACGATGACTCATATATTGTTGGCAGGAACGTAAATTGTTACAATTTGAGAGGATAATTTGGCTGCAGCAGTAAATTTGAAAATGCACATCAACCTATGACCCAGCAATTACACTTACAGGTAGGTATACAGTGTAGGGAAACCTTCACACCTGTGCTGGAGGGGACACGTACAAGGATACTTATTAAACATTGTCTGAAATATTGAAAAACTGAAAACAACCCTTCAGTAGGGGAATGAATTAACTGTGGTTAGTGGTTATTAAAAAAAGGAAAAAAACGCATAAGGGAAAGAAACAACCCTGCTGGCTACATATATGATTTTGAGAAGGGTAACTTACTGATTTATTTAACAATAGTATATTGTGAAAAGAGCACTGTACTTGGACTCTGGAAACAAGCATTTTAGCATTTAGGTCCAACTTTGCCACTAACCAGCAGTCAGACTATGGACCACTGAACTCTATAAACCTCACTTTCCTTTTCCTGGAAAACGAAGCGGTTAGGCTATGCAACCACTAGGATTATTTCCAACTCAAGAATTCTATGATTCATAATCAAAAATTGTATTCTAAAGCACCTATGTCAGGAAACTATTTTTCCCAGACACCTTGAATCAGAAACTATCAAAGAAACTGGACAGTATATTGATAGATAAAATGGATAAATTTCTTGGTATGTCTGCGATGAACTTTTTAAACAAGATCCTAATTCAGAAAGGGCATATAAACAGCTCAACCGTACTGACTTGGGTCACTCTCAGGTAAAACTTACATATCGTCTCCCATTGTAACATTCTAAAACAAGTTAAAATCATTAATGAGTCCATCTTTACTTGTCAAGTTCAGGTCTGTCTAGCCAAAAGTCACTGAAGTACATGGTAAGATTTACTTGATTTTTTTTTAACAAAGATAAAATAATGAATTGCTTTTGGTATTTTTGCCTGTTTCATCTATAAAGATCTTACGTTATAGCTGAATAGGTTCAGCCTGCTACAATAATTTAGAGTCTTTTAAAACTTGTAATATGCCATGTCCACAGGGATCCAGAAAAAAAATCAGTAGTTCATAATCCAAAAAAGCTTAACAATTTCATTACCATCAATACTTATACTTCAACGACACCAATAACCAACATGTCATTTATTCTTATTGCAGAATTTAATAGGTTATTAACTTATGGTATAATCCAAAAGCATAATTACGATACTGTCATTAAAACATGGTATGTCTTTTTTAAAATCAGAAATATTAACTCCTTTCACCTACCTTGTCAGCAAAACCAAACTTTCAAAAATCTTGTTCTACAGGCTTTCCAAATCTAAATTTTTACAATTCTAAACGAATACGGAAACAAAACACACACTATATACTACTTCTAAAAACCTCCTAGCGATCAGATTTTAATTTTAGCGCCAACTGCCAAGAAAAACCTTTGGACGCAAATCTAAATTCCATACACATTACCGTATGTCAATCAACTAAACAGAAGGTGGGTTATTATTATTAGGAAGTTACATAATTTGCCCCAGAGACTGTTCAAAGCGCCTTTCATTAAACGTAACTTACAATAATTTACAGGCTTCAAAATTCATTTTGCAAACTTACGAGGAAATTATCAGAAACCATTAGGAGATTAGGCTTTTCTTGAAAAGTGGTCACAAGGAAGTGGGAACTGATTTTTTGTCTAAAGAACGCAACGAGCAGCTGAATACCAGGAGCTGAGTCAGGCAGAGGAACGCCGACTACATTCCCTCTTCTAAAGGAAAGTGTTCGCCCAGCTATTCCCCCGACCCGGCCTGGAGGGAGTCCTGGGAGTCGCGAACTCCGGGCGGGGGCGCAGAGGGCAGGCGACTCCCTACCGTCCCGCTGTAACTTGGGCCAGGCGGGCAGGAATCCCCGCCAGCCCAAGCGGGTCCCTCGCCAAGGCAGAGAGAGCCGGCACGGCCAAGCTGCGTTCCTCCGAGGGACAAAGGTTGAGCTCACGTCCTCTGCAGCCGGCCGGAGAGCCTGCTGGCGGGGCAGCGGCGGAGCAGCCCCGGTTTCCCGGCCGAGCTCCCCGTATGGGGGAGGGGGTGAGCCCGGACGCCCCTCCCCCCAGCTCCCGGGACCTGTTGATTAAGATCTCCACCCCACGCCACCGCCAGTCCACCTCTTACCTTCGCGCCACAGCGGCCGATCCTCCCGCCCCGGCGGCTCCTAAACACTGCAGGAAGGACAGCTCCCCAGCTGTACTTAAAATACCAGCTAAAGAATCCAGAAACTCCCGGATTCCCCACCTCACAACCCTTGGTCCCCGCCCCCCACCCCACCCCACTGCCAGTCGCCGCCGTCGCCACCGCCGCCAGCGACTCCACCTCCAGACCGCGCGAGACCAGCCCCCGCGGCCGCCGCGAGACCGCGCACGCGCCCCCGAGACTCTGGCGCAGTGGGCGCGCCTATCCCAGGCCCTCCTCGGCGCGCCCCGCCCGCTACTAGGCGGAGAGGCTGGCGCGGTTCGCCCAATCCCGAGCCGGCGCGGAGAGAGGGCCTTCTCATTGGTCCGCTCTGCAGCTCCCAAGGGGCAGTCGCGCGCACTCGCGCGCCTCTAAGTGTATATATATAACCGGCGAACTGCTTCGTTCTCAGGTACTTTTGGGGTTCGGGTTGGCGCGCTCCGTTGCGTAGGGGCCGAAGTCTCCCTGAGGCGTAGTGGGGAGCCCGCGCTGCAGCCCCCGACTCTTCTCCAGCTCGAGGACCGTCAGCTCCTGAAGAAAATCTGATTATTCCCCTTGAGGCGACTCCTCCTGTCCTATGAAGCACGTCACACAATCTAATATTTGTTTAAAAGAGAACCTTGACATACTTAAACACCTGGATGTGTGTAGTGTCCCACAGAAGAATTCTCTGCTATTGCAGAAGACTCCAAAAACCTAGCGGCTGGGACTGAGTTCTGAGAACCAGATAGGAAGGATGCCAAGGGCCACAGCTGTTTCACAAAAATCCAGTGAATGGATTTCGAGTTACTTGGGCCAACCCACATCCCGTGCAAGGAAATCCACGTAAACAGTCTCCAGGATTCCCTATAAACTGTTAGGCATATTCAAAAAGAAAAAATATATAGTGTGCGTGTCACCTGTTTTCTAAGTTCTTAAATGCATGAAGTAAATAATAACTCAAGAAGCTTCCTCTGGCTTCTCAATGAATCTTTTTTCCTGTAGCTCAAGGTGTCTCAGCCTCAGCGCTATTGAGATTTGGGCCAGATATTTCTTTACTGTGGGGGCTGTCCTGTGCGTCGTAGGATTTTTAGCGGCATCTCGGGTGTCTGCCCACTAGATGCCAGTAGTACCACTACCCCCATTTGTGACGTTGCGAAAGGCCCTCTGGCAGGCAAAATCACCTCCAGTTAAGAACCACTGAGAGAAGGATTGTCCCTCTTTACCCTACCTTCCTTGCTCAGCCCCAAGCAGTTTTGCAAAACACCTCCACCCAAATGAGCCTTCCAGCTACCCAGCTTTGTTTCCCCAAGCTGCTGGACTCCTCTGTCACAGGACCCCACCCTAGTAAAATGATGATCACTATCTGTGTGAGATAGCAGCTATTGATCTCAAAATACGTGGAAATTCCTTTGTAAAATGCTATGCAAATGTTTATTATTTTTACTTCCTAAAAGTATTTTCGTTTTAAAAGAGGGTATACCCTATGGCAAATAAAACGTTTCTTCTCTGGGGAGTAGAGCCATTCCCAGAATCCCCAAATGACTCAAATAACTAGTGTTGTATGCAAAAAATGAAGGGTAGCTGGAAGAGTGGAAGGTATAGAAAATGGAGGCCAAGCGCTTGGATTCAAGTTTTAGCTTTGATGCTAACTAGTTCTGTGATTTGGATGAGTGACAAGTTTCCTGGGCTTAAATTTTCTCATCAGTAATATAACAAATTAGTTACTTTTTTTCCTAGTTTTAAGATTCTAGAAGTCTCTGCATATGGAATCTAACATGAACAGCACAGGGAGTTAAGAAAATATAATATTCATCCCAAAATAGAATGAAATGAGTAATCTGTGGTTTAAAACCACCTGTCAGAAGAGTTGTTCATTCTTGTCATAAGGCAATTCACCCACTGAGTCACCTGGCAAATTTGTAACTAAGTAGTATTTTGGGTGAGTAGTGAAATCTGTACTGTAAAATCAAATGTACAGTGGAGAATAACCATAGTAAATACCCTTCCTCCTTCCCCATCTTGGCGTCTGCTTAACCCGTCATCTGCCAACAGCCTCTATCACATCTTTATGTAATAAAATGTTGTGCTATTTTGTTTCATTAAAGGCTTGGGGGAAATATATTAATATTGCATTTCAGCCATTTGCAACAGGTCTGAAATCTCAGTTTTCAAGATTCTGCCGTTCACCATTGTAAGGAAATCCATAACTAAGGCTATTGTATCCCTTTGGTTTTATCACCTCTATATACTAGTGAAAGCTGAGTTTTCATAGCTGAATTAGTAGCCTGATCACTTAATAATTGTATGAACCAGATGATCAGAAATAATGTAAATTAAAAGAAGAGTAATTACTATTTCAGATATAAGAGAAGTTATGAAATAATGAATTAGTAGGTACATTAATTATTAAGTAAATAACTAAAAAAAATTTTAAATGCCAAAAAAGACAAAAAGCAAACCAGCACACTATGAACTTTTCTAATTTAATTATGTTTAGTTATTATTTTGATGTTTTATAGTACTTGTTAACCTTTCATAAATCTAACTAAAAGTATTATGCCCCTAAGCTAAGAACAGCAGGCAGTTGTTGCCACCATGTGGAATGAGAGGTCCCACTGTCTCATGTTAGCATCAGTGTCATTCAGTACACATCAGTATCATTCCACTCAATTAACTTTAATAAATATTCACTCGTTAATTCAAAAATTATATACTGAGTACTTGCTTTGTGCTAAGCACTATGCTGTAGGGAATTGAAACAGGTGAGAGTCCCTGTCCTGGAGAAATTCACAGTAAGGTGGGCAAAGGGACAAGGTAAGTAAGGTCCACATAGGTAAAATACAAGGGAAAGTGTGGTAAATGAAAACAAGGTGCTTTGTGGACTCAAAGAAAGGTAACATCTTATACTAGGAGAAGCTTTACTATCTAAATGCAGGGGAGACGGAGGGGGACAGAGGATAAATTACTTGGAAAACACCCACAATAATAGGAGAACCAAGATCTTGTACATGGCTTTCAAAAGGTAGACATAAAACTTTTTATTGATTTGAATGACTGAGTGGAGTACACAGAGAAAAGCATGGGCTTACTATGGGAACTCAAGTCGTCAACAATGACTTCAGAGTAGAGTATTCAATGTTTAGGATGTTAGTCATTAATCACACTTTTATTAGTACTCTTCTTTGCTGGTCCTGTGCTAGGCTGGGGATGTGTACACAAATAAAACATGATCCAGGAGAAATTGTATTTTGGAGACAGGAGGTAGGCAAATTTGGAGCTTAGAAAATTTTCTAATGAGAGAAAGACCAAGACTGAATGCGAAGAGAAAGGAACTCAGGTTTGTTCCCCCTGAAAAGGGCAATGAAGTTACCCATATTTTTCCTCCTCGAGCTCCCAATCAAATCTCTATTTTGTTTGTGTCACAAATCTCAGCTGCGGCTTTAATTCAGATCCGTAAGTGAATCCCTGTGACTGGGTCTGGGGTGGTGTCTGTGCTGCACTCCAAAGAGATGAACTCGGATGCCTCTTCTCTCCTCTCTTGGACTCCCTCTGAGATTTAACTCCACCACTGCTTCACAACAGCCTCTGTCATGGTCACGGATTAGAGCCACTTTGTTAAATGCAAAGGTCAGTGTTCAGTCCTCATCTTCCTTGACCCGCCAGCAGCCTTTGATGCTCTTGAGCATTTTCTCCATTTGTCTTCTGGGCTCCTGAAGCACCACTATAACCTCTCCTCCTACCCTCTGGAGCCTCCTTCTCAGTCTCTTTTGCTGATTCTTTATCTTCCTGAAGTTGGAATGTCCCAGGGCTCTAATATTCAATATTTTACTTCTCTCTGCCTGAGTTTGAATCCAGCTCTACCACTTGCTATCCTATGAAGCACAAAGTCAATTTCTCCGAGATTCAGTTTCCTCATTTATAAAATTGAGGATAATAAAAGTAGCTACCTCCTACAGTGGTTGTGAAGACTAGATGAGTCTATATATGAAAAGTGCTTAGAACAGTGCCTGGTGCTGTATGCACTATTTGTCTTTATTCTTATCAGCATGTTCATTGTCACTCACTCCCTCCATGATTTCCTCTGGTCTCAGTGGCTTTAAATTCCATCTATACACTGTCAGCTCTAAATTTATCTCTACCCTGAACTTCTGCCCTGAACTCCAGAATCGTATATTCAACTGTTGGCTCAACATCTTTATTTGAATTTCTAATGAGCATTACAAATTTAACATGTGAGAACTTTTTGTTTTTGTCTAGTTTTCTTCATTTCAGTATATGGTGATGCCACTATTCCAGTTGTTCAGCCTCTCTTTCACACTGCACATCCAATCCATCAGGAAATTCTTTTATTTCTACCTTCAAAGCACATCCAGAATCTAACCACTTCTCACTAACCCCACTGCTACCACGCCACTGCAAGACACTATCCTCTTTTGCCTGGGTTACTGCAATAAGCTCTTTCCCACTCATATTTTCTCTTATCCATACTGCAGCCAGAGCGATCCTGCTAGAATAAACACAAGACCAGGTCACTGCTCTGCTCAGTAGCCTCTGGCCCAACGTGATCTCCCTGACCTCCACTCTCACTCCTCTTTCCCTTTCTCATTTCCCACCAGGCACACTGGTATCTTTGCTGCTCCTCACATATTCCGACAGCTTCTGCCTCAAAGCCTTTTGCATTTGTTATTTCTTTGCCTGAAATAGCCACTCTCCACATGGCTCCTCTCTCTCACTTCCTTTACGTCTCATTTCAAAAGTTATCAGTGAGGCCATCCCATTCTAGATCAAATAGCCACATTTCTCGACACCCTCTCCCAGCACTCCTTGTCCGCCTTCCCCAACTGTATTTCTCATTGTATTTGTTCACCATTCGACATATTGTGTATTTCTTGTCTGTCTCCCCAGACTAGAATGTTAGCTCCATAAAGACCAGAACTTTGTCTATTTTATTCACTGCTACTTATTCTTAGATTCCCCAGCGTCTAACACAGTACCTGAGCTATGGATGGTACTCAATAAATATTTGTCGAGTGAATGAAATAGACATGAGTAGATGGAATAGAGATGATGAAAGGGTCAAAGAAAAAGCTTCAGCTTTGTCAAATGGC